TGTAAGGAACTGGACATGATATCAATGTGCTGCTCTTTCAGAATCCAAAATGTAAATATCATCTGATTTAAAGAAGAAAGCCCAAAACCGAGATCAACCAATTGCAAACTGTGCAAAAGTAGCTCATGAAGTATGAAGTTTATGTACAGCTTAGGAAATACAGCAAGTCATCCAGAATTGTAAGATCGACAAACCATCAGAACCTACAAATCAATTGGAATATCAAAAGTCTACACGAGAAGAACTTACAAATTTAGAAACAAATAGCTCATACAATCCCTCCAAATGCATAAGCTTCACTGGCACCTGGCTACCTATACGATCAGCTTCAAACCGTCTAGTGAAGAGGGTTCCCATGTTCTGGATGCCAATGTATGCTTTCCGAGAAGGATCATGCACTGGAACAAATGCCGGCCAAAAACTGCATGGTGTGAGCATATCAACCATTTCCTACATTGTTCACTATAGAAAGGAAGAAGTATAACAAACATAGAGCCAAGAGTTGAGTTCTCCTTGAAGAAAACCTAAGTACCGATATGATATCAACTTATTCTTTTCTGCATTTTTTTAAGCCCCCCTTTTATTAATAAAGCAGGTTTCCCAGAGCCCCTTTTTAAGAGATAGAATGAAAGGTGTACTGAAAATTCTGCATTTTTTAATTGGTTGCCACTTTTACTAGTTACTAGCATAATGACTTTTCTTATTGATGGAATCCACTCGTTCGCATAACTGGTACAGCTTTCCAAGTAAAAGTTTCAAGCTAGATAAAACATTACTCACAAAAAGCACCATGAAAGTGCTTGAGGTTTACAATACTACAAATTTACCCTCTCTTTAATAGTTTAGAGGGCTAAGAGAATCGTATAGTGTATCGGGGTAGTTTAAAGTATTTTTTTTAAAACAGGTAAATATTGAGTATATTAATAATAAGAATAATAGACAGCCTAGCACTAAGAAGGTCTAGACATTACAACAATAGAAATCTCCCAATACAAAAAACAAAAAGGATGGATTCCTTCTGTACAGAGTACTATTCCTGTATGAATCTATGAAATTTAGCAGGCTATTTTCATCTTTGACATCCTGTAGGTCGCACGAAAAAACTAAAAGCCATTAACATCTGAATTTGATCTTCTGCATAGCATCTACTTTCCCTTTGAAACATCTTGCATTCCTTTCCTGACACCACCCAACAAATACAAGCAGCTATTGTATTCCAAATCTTTCTCAAAAGGTTTCTTTTCTACCCCAACAACCCAGCTGCTTAAAAGTTCCTTTACTGAGTTAGGCATAATAAACATACAGTACTGAATAGGTTGGAAAATAAGGACCAACTGACTTGTCACTGGACAATGCAGAAAAAGATGGTTGCTACTTCCCTCTATGTTTTAACACAAAAAGCACGTGCTGCATAATGACAAACCTCATCTCTGTAATTTGCACTGAGTCAGGCAGGCCTCATGAGAGACCAGTCACATAAAACAACAGATCTTATAAGGGGCATTGTTCTTCGACGGGGTATTTTAAAGTAATTCAGGGAACATTTGAAACATCAGCCGCATGCCGCTTGCTAAAGGGAAAAGGCATGACACATAGCTTTTTCTTCTCGTGATTCTCAACAAGCCAACATTTCTTACTTCACATTAACCGCAACTTACATACACTCTATTCAAATCTATATACTAAAAGCAGGAAAATATCCTGTTTCTGTTTATCAATTTCTCCTTTGTTTCAGCCTCATCAATCTCCACGGGTTTTGTTTAAACTATTAACCTTCCAATATAGTGCACCTCTGTATGATAAAAAAATAAAATCTCACTGACAGAACATCAATGCTCCATCAAAATTTATTAGATCTCTCACTTTGATTTTAGCGCTGTAGCACATGATTTGGAAAAAGAAAGATGAGTGCTTCAATTACCAACAGGAATAAAACCTAGGCTAATAACTCAAAAGTAATGAAGTAAATAGACTGGTACCATCCTGTGACAACATACCCCGAACAATTTGACAATGCAATAGCAACTGCACTTAGAAGTTTGCTGGCCTCCGGTCCATCAAGAACCACGCCACTGGCACTTTGAGGAGCAATCACCTAGAGATGAGCATTACGAATTCAGAGAGAAAGCAAAACATTATGTACTAGATGAAGGTACTAAATACACAAGAAACAGGTCATCTTTCTGTGTGGACATGAATGAGGGAAAAAAGATAGAGATACCAGGAACTCATTCACCCCAAAAGACAGTTGCAGATTATGCAATTCACAACTCCAGTCATTTCCGTTTCCTCGACCAACTAAATTCAAAAGATTGGTTAGATAAGTCAAACATGAAAACACTCTCAGATAGATTTTTGCAGCAGAATTATGTGCATACCAGCATTGTGTGTTCCAAAATAGTACTCCATGCAATAGCTTTTCATCGCATACTTCAGGTCAGTTTTGACCTTATATAGGCCCTCAGAGATATTCAAACTGATAGCACCCTTTATCTGTCATTAGATAATATGTAAGATACACAAACAAGAAATTCATGAACAACATCCGAGGACCTGTTGGTCATACATCTACCAGAAGTATCAACTCAATGTAATATATAGTCAAGAAACTCTATCAATTATAATTCAAGTCAAAGCATCACGACAAGACTAAGCCCCACGTCATTTGAATTGAATAGGAAATATACATATGCCAGTGTCCGGGAATATCATTAACATTTGAAAGAGATGATTGATCTGACCTGCAATTACTCCAGTATCAAGTACTTTAATATAGTAATACAACCAAAGTGCACCAAACTAGGAGCAAAATAAAAGCAGATAACTATACCAGGGTATCCATTGAACTTTCGGGAAGCTATTATAAATACTTTCAGACTGTTCTCTCTGCAGCTCTCTATGGGTATAGTTAAAGCAGTTCTTTGTAAGATGTGTTAGCGAACATCCAAATCAATCAGTCAACTATGCCTTAATACCAAACTAGTGAGGGTCGGCTACAAGAAGCCTCTATATCCATACTGCTCTATTTGGGCTCATTGCTTTCCAATACTCTATAATATTTCTATTAAGACAAATTATATGTTCTCTGAAACTAAATGTTATCCTATCTAATACTTACTCCAACACTGACATACAAATGTATGTCCAGACTCGGGCAAACACGAGACTTAGTGTAAGTATAATAACAACAGCTAAGCCTAAACTCAGACTATATGGATCCTAATTCCTATGTAGATTCGTTATACTTTGACTATCTTTACTCTAGCTGTCAACTTACCACTATTCCTTGAGATGGCTGCAGTAAACAGCAAAATTGCTACCTCAATTGAAGAATAACTATAGAAACCTTTATCTGAATTATTTAATAGACTTATTATTCAGTCTACTAAATTGAAACAGATGCTTCAAAGACCCAGTCCCTAGCAAGATTTGTTAGGGGCCAGACGAATAACAAAAGTAATGGTATCAATGCTAAACTATAATCATTAGCATTGTTCAGCTCTCCTGAAAGAGATTGAGAGGGAGAATTTGAACTTTTGGTATAGTATAAGTGCACTATTTTGAGTCATATGTATTGAGTTGAAATTATAATCACTCAGATGCAAATTTAAAATGATAAACTATGAATTGCCATGTTAAAATAATATGAAGTAGGAATTTGAAAAAAATCATACCAACAAATTCTTGGTGCCATCAGCCAACCATTGCCGGCAAACTGCCTCTATCTCGGATATGAACCTACAGAAATAATTAGTAACTTCAGATTCTATGCCCCTGTATATATCATGATCTAAGCTTTGAGCATTGAGGACACAATAAGTAAATGCAGTAACTTGTGATGGTTGAAGAAAATACCTTTCCCATGAAGAGGCCAGGGTAAAATCATCAAAATGTTCAAACTGCAATCAAACAATCAAAACAACATAAAACCTTCCACCAACATTGAAACCCAAAATCTAAAAATGAACAATCTTTTGAAGTTTTGCAGCTAAGGATTTACAAGTTCCCTCCTTTTTCTTGCAATCCACCTATTACTTTCCTTATGGCATATACTTCTCACATGTCGCTCATTGACTGATAAAAGCAATGAGCATCATACAAGTTTTAGAATGTACGGAAAAGAGCCAAAAATACCCATAAACTACTCAAAATAGGTCAAGTTTATCCCTCATTACGTTTTTTCAGTAAAAAAATTCCTTCACCATTATAATTTTGGCTTTAAAATACCCTCCAACTATCCGAACGGATCAAAAATAGCCTTCCTTCTAACGGTTGTTCCAAAACATGACCAAATTTACTCTTGCACTATTCCAAATACAGAATACTGCTTTAATCTGCTTCAAGTTAGAAACCTAGCTCTTTCATAAAATTGCACAGAAATCCCAATTTGTATGGACGATTTGTCAGTTATTAGGCTTAATGCGTAGTATTATAAAAAAAGTCGCAACATAATTAAATTAAATTTATCAACAAAACAAAACAATTATGAAAGTACCTCCTCTTGTAGATCGTCATCCTCAACAGAGCTAGACATTTTGCTAGTTGACGCCGTTGATTTTTCGCAGAAATCAAAATCTACAGTTCGTAGTTGTTAATTACTAAACGATTAATTAGGATAATACCTCGAATTATAAGAATTTTTTATCGAAGAATGTGAATTACAACTCGTAAATTTAACTGGATCTTTTGCTAGTATAATTTTTGAAGCAACTCGTGAGATTTTTGGGCGTTGATTATGATTTATGGGTAACATGTGCAGAGAGAGACCTGGAGAGGCCGAGAGGAAGAAGATGACGGTTTGGCTATGACGGCGTCACTTTACGTTGAAGTGTTCTACTTAACGACATCTTCTTATTCGCTAGTGACTGACGGAAAGAACCCGCTCTATATTCCAATCTGATAGTGTAATAAAAAAAAGCAAAAGATGGTAGGAAAAAATTGGTCATTCAATGTTTATATTAAGCAAAAATAATTATAACTCTTATATATTTAAATTAATTGGATAATATAAGTACAAGTGTGAGCAAATGATGCTGAGCTAGCGGCATAATGCTTCGTTTAATAGTTTGATCGAATTCAATAGTTTTTAAATTCTGTTCTTTGTACTAAAAATATGATAAATATGTATGAATTGTAATTTTAAAATTCAATAACTTTGATAAATAACAATTACTTTTGCGATCAAATATTTTTGTCAAGGAAATAAGTAAGTGGAGTGGTGGTTGGGATAAGAATTAGAGGCTAATATATATACATGGAAGTAAGGAAGGTATCATTTGCCAAAGATTTATTAATGAATATAGATAGGAACGAATTAAATGTCAAGAATCGCATTAGATTCTAATTAAATATTAATTATATACTTTTTATATCTCTAATTACTTGTCCATTTTGAATTGGCACACCTATTAAAAAAATAATTATTGACATAGTGAATTTACCATTATACACATATCAATTATAAAATGAATGAATTAAAAATTTAGGATTTTTTAAGAATCTTTACCTTTTTCAAAGTAATTAATTGAAGTTATAATATGTAAAAAAAGTGTCCTTTATTAATTTGTCAAAAGGGACAATTAAAAAAAATTGGATATTAATTAGGGACTATCACATCTTGTCACATGTTAATGATGTCTAGATTTTATTTTTTTTATTTTTTTGAGTATGTCGTAAGAAATTAGAAATAAAAAAAAATTCATAAGCTACGTTGCTTAAATTAATAAGTTGCATAAATTTCATATCTTTAATTACATCTTTTTTTCTTAACTAATAATTTTTTTTCATGTTTATGACCTTTGTTTGCCAAAAATCTATATAATTATTTGTCTTGCTCCTGACGTATTTTATATCTATGTTGATGATGTCTAAACATTATCAATATCAAAAGATTATAAAATTGAAGAGAGAACAACAACAATTAAAAAACAGACAAAAATACATAACAAGGACTTGATTCTGCATTTCATTCCAAAGATCAAACCATCACACTCCCACTCTCCATCTCTTTTCATTTTTCAACTTTGTTATTCCCTATGTTTGAAATTACTAAAAACATGATTAATAGGTACGTTTTAACTAATAGAATTTCAAACTCAGCATTGTGTTTTTAGTGAATTTATCTCCTAACAATATTTCGAGGGGTTAGATTATTTCCTTAAAAGGTACTCTTATTTACTGAAATAGATGTTTTGATGCAAAGATAAAAGAAAATCATGACTCAGAGTTTGTTTGTGTAAAACCAATACAAAGATTTCAAAGAATCGATTGCAAATCATTTTTAGATAAAATATTTGTACTACCTCCAACAGATATGATGTTTATACGTATAGCTAATATTTACCAAAGAGGGGGGGGGGGGGGGGGGGGGGGGGGGGGGGGGGGGGGGGGGGGGGGGGGGGGGGGGGGGGGGGGGGGGGGGGGGGGGGGGGGGGGGGGGGGGGGGGGGGGGGGGGGGGGGGGGGGGGGGGGGGGGGGGGGGGGGGGGGGGGGGGGGGGGGGGGGGGGGGGGGGGGGGGGGGGGGGGGGGGGGGGGGGGGGGGGGGGGGGGGGGGGGGGGGGGGGGGGGGGGGGGGGGGGGGGGGGGGGGGGGGGGGGGGGGGGGGGGGGGGGGGGGGGGGGGGGGGGGGGGGGGGGGGGGGGGGGGGGGGGGGGGGGAGGAGGGTGGTGGGGGGGGGGGGGGGGGGGGGGGGGTAGGGTCACTACCTTTATTTAATGAAAAAACGGGAGAAAATTAATTTAAAAAAATTGATTTCACAAAAAATAACTGATCAACCAAACTCAAAAGACAAAAACAAAGCTAAGTAACAACTCACAATATTAACATGGATTGTGGTGTTGTAGTGAGTAGGAGTGACATTCGGTTCTTCGGTTAGATTTTATCAAATTTTGATTTAGTTCTTCAATTTTAGAAAAGTGTGCACCGTATATCAAACTAAACTAATTTGATTCGATTAGGTTTTTCCTACTTTGGTGCAATTTAATTTGGTGTTTTTAAATCAATTTTTCGGTGTGAATGAAAAATATAATGAGGACAAAATCAAAGTATAAGATACTTCAAAATTTAAAAGTATGTTAAGGAATGATGTGTCTCGCCATGGAACACTTATTGTGCTAACTAAAAGACTATTTATTTTTGTCAAGGACATTGTGTCTCCAACTACTTTTCGAGAAAAACAAGGACGAAGACGGGTTCCTTGACATAACGTACATTGATAAACATATGTTTTGGTTCCTCTGGAAATTAACATCTGAAGTTAACAATTGAATTGTAAATCTGTTGCTACTTTGATTTGTTCATAAATGATTTAATCGGTAGTTGATTTTTTTATTTTTAGTTAAAGATATATATAAAAGTTTGGTTCTTCGATGCACCGAAGTTTTGAGACCCTTACTGTCACGACCCGAGAGTACCCCCTAGTCGTAACATGGCGTATTCGACCCCGAAGGGGTCTTATACGAGCCACATAGTCATTCATTGCATTCAATAATGAAAATAGTGCGGAATAAAAAAAAAAAAAAACTTATTTACATCCACACATTTAAACTTCATTAAAACAACTTTAAAAACACACAGCGGAAGTCTAAGTCTCACATGGCCATCTTAGACACAGTCACAAAACATAAGTAGGGACACGGCCCTTTACAATCAAAAGAAGTCTATTAAGTCTATTACATGAACAAAAGAACTTAAAAGTCTTATCCTCGAATCCATGAGGACATACCAAGTCTTGGAGGAAAGCAATCCAACACTTCAAACTAGCTAGGAGGGATCACTTGCCGGAACCTACACTTATAGAAAATAGAGAAATATGGAATTAGCACAATTAAGTACTAAGTATGATGACCATGCAAAACATGCTTTAAAAGGGACATTTTGGTTAGAAACCATGCATTATGCCACTTTTTGAAGTACCATGAATAGTTGCATAAAAGACATACAATACAAGCATAAACATCAAGTAAGTCATAATATTACCTTTAAACAATTTCAACATGAAAACCTTTACCTTGGACCTTCACCTCAAGAAACCCTATGGTATACCTCGTGCAATGTATGGATGGCGTCCCATACCACCATCCATACTAAGGCACCACATTAAGGTCACTTAAGGTAACTTATCATTCCTTTCTTTCACCTTTGCACAATATTCATACATAAGAGGTATATCATTAATTAAGACATGACAAGGGAAAATAACTCGTAATATAACCCAAGTATAGCATGCATCTCATATTAAGCATTTGAGAGCCAACATTCTTTAATAACCTCATTTAGGCCACAATTGTATCACATACATTAGGATTTAGAGAAACTCACTATGACCCTCTCCAAGCCTACTCGTGCAATGTATAGGTAGCATCCCATACTACTACCTACACTTTGTAGAACCTATCAAGAAACCATAATGAAATCTCACATGATGGGAAGTAAGCATTTAACCGACATAGACCATGAGAGCTTGTCATGGAATCCGGTGTCATAAGTCCCCACACCGTAAAGAGGTGGTCTACTTGCCTAAGGAAGACCGGTATATAGCTTAATGGATCCACTAGCTTCCTATGCGGGCACATAGTTTATGGGATAAGGTAGACGATCATTGAAACTCATGCCTAACTATTGGGGGAGTTTCCATCTAACCAAATCCACTCGGTGCTTAGCCAACATTCCCATAGAATAGTTCGTTATCTTGACATTATCACATATGAGAGGTGCCATTGGCCTACCAACTCCAAATTACATTCATTAACACGTGAAAGGGTGCTTTAAGCCTACCGTTTCAAGGTTCATTTAGGAAAGCTCATTAACTCCTCTTGAAAGGGTGCCATGGGCCTGCCGATTCAAGTCTCATCATTAACCTTTATGGAAAGGTGCCATAGGCCTACCGAATCCAAGGTTCATTACTTATCATTAAGGGAAGGGTGCCAT